CCCGATACCGATACCAGTATCCCTACACTCAAATGAGTACCCCTACACTCAAATGAGTCACTTAAATTTCATGTCCCAGGCACTTTAAAGTCCGTTTCCTCCCCGCAGGTGCTCTCCCACAACCTGTACACGGTGCTGAACATCCCTCATGATCCCGTTGCCCTGGAGGAGCATTTCCAGGATGACGATGATGGACCYGTCTCCAACCACGGCTACATGCCCTACCTCAACAAATACATCCTGAACAAGGTACCGCCTTCATTTTGACAGGTATTTTGCGGCGACGCTTCATTTTCAGTCAGGTTTTTGTAATATTTATGATTTGTGTAAAGTTATTGATCATTTAAATAGTTCTTAACACACTTGACACTTAAAAATCTTGAAAGACGGGGATATTTTTCAACCAAACTAAAATAAGTCTCACAGCTTGTGTGGTACATGTGTGTTAAAGGGTTTTAAAAAAATCACTGTTTTTATGATTTATACCCTCAGTTTGAAAAAGTACTCATACAATGTTTCTAAATTAAACATCTTTAAGTATTTAGTGCAGCGTCTAACGCAGTTTTGAAGCACAAACTTTCATAGATAATTATTTTAATGTTTACTATTCAACTGCCATCRTGATAAATGTGCGAATTTTGCACTTTTTAATTTAATTAACATTAAAATTTTTATCATGAAGTTCTGAACAAAGTTATTTATGTAAGCCTTTTTGCAAACTGTGTTTTTATGAAAAGCTTTGATWTAAGATGTATAGAAATAATGCAGGTACAAACGAGGCAACAAATGAGGGTTGCCATAGAAAAGTGGGCCGTGGATTGAATTTGTGGCATTTTTTTCCTCAAGAGTTCTAGAACAAATGAACAGTTTTTGTTTATATTTTCATTGAAAATCACGACAATGTTCGTAATCATTTACAGTTTTTTTTATAAAAGTCTAAAACACAAATCTTAAATGCTCTTAAAACTAAACGTATTCATGATGAGCGTTGCTGTGTTTAATCAAAACTCCTCTAAAGTGCCTCRATATCAAATAATTGTTCAGGTTGTGTATTTATTCTTAAACTGACTGAGCTGTTCTGACATGGAAGCTTTGAGAGTTGTGTTGGATGTAGAAATAATCGAGTTAAACCTCAGTGGGTGGAGGAGCTTCTCGCGAATCGAGTTTTGAGTCGGCGTCAGAAAAGAAATGATCCCACCGACTGGGTGACTTAAACCTGTAGGTTGAACGCTGCCAGTTTTCAGTTTCAGGCAGCTRGAATTAATTTKWTTTTYCTATATTTCCAGGTAAAAGAGGGGATGTTTGACAAAGAGAAGTTCGACGACTTGTGCTGGATGATGACCATGAAGAAGAACTTCGGCGGGTCGCGGCGCGGGCCTTTGTTGTCAGAGAGGAACTGCTTCAAGCTGTTCTGTTTATTCAACCTGCTGTCCGAGGACCACTACCCGCTGGTGATGATCGTAGAGGAGGTAAAACAAGCCGGGGACTACTTTATCCTCAGGATTTAAGTTTGTTCCACAAGAAAGGAGCCTGAGAACATTCTACTTTTAGAGACTCAAGGAACYACAAGTAAACCTGCCGTTTGGAAAATATGAAACAATAAGATCTTTAAAATAAGGTGGAGCTGGATTTTATTTTAGAACAAATTAACAAATCRATTCAGTCAAATAAATTCAGCTACGTGTCGGAAATGAAAGCAGCTTCTGTTCTCTTTTGATGCGTTCACATTTCTTTCAAAACCAAACAAGAAAAAAAAAGTAAGTGCAAGTTAGTGAGTTAATGAGGCTCTTCCTTCCTGCGCTTCCTTCATAAGATTCTCAGTTTCCTGTAAGTCAGAGATAAAAATAAACGTCTTTTGTGCGCTCAGCTCTGTAGCATCCCCCTATATATATATATATATATAAAAAATAATAAAACAAAGAGTTTAATATGTGTGGTGTTGCAGCAAAACCACAGCTTTACTTTCAGTTTTATGGGATAGGTCGAGTATCTCCTGAAAAAAATCTCCACTGCGATGAGCGAGGAGTGGGACGGGAAGCCCTTAGAGGACCTGATAACCCAGGATCCCACAGTGCTGGAAGAAGGCATGTCTGTTTGGACCTTTCTGGAACACATGAGCGCGGGTCGGCTCCTGAAGACCACCAGCTCCGAGGCTTTCAGCTTGGCTCTGGACGAGGTGTTTCTGGAGATGTATCACAGCGTCCTCAAGAGGGTGGGTCACTCAGGACATGAGTCTGCTCCTGTGACTTTGTTCTTTTCTTTGTTTGAGCTCCGGTTTGTTCCCGGTTTTGCAGGGTTACATGTGGAAAAAGGGACACGTGCGACGGAACTGGACCGAGCGCTGGTTTGTGCTGAAGCCCTCCACCGTGGCTTACTATGTCAGCGAGGACCTAAAAGACAAGCGAGGGGAAATCCAGCTGGACAAGAGCTGTGTCGTAGAGGTTGGTGAGGAAACGTCTACGACCTGCCTGGAATGTGGGTCAAACACTTTTCCAGCCTCAGTGGGACTGTTTCCTTTCCTCTGTGTCAGGCCATTCCAGACCGGGAGGGGAAACGCTGCTTGTTCTGTGTGAAAAYGCACAACAAGACCTACGAGATGAGTGCGTCTGACCAGAGGCAGAAGGTGGAGTGGACTCAAGGTGAGGTGGTGTGGACCGATGGAGACAACAAGTTCTGAGAAGCACAACTCACTCAAACTAGTTAGAGACATTTGTATTTAAAAAGCTAAAAGAAAGTAAACAAAAATTAAATGAAACAAGACAATAGCTAAAAGCTAAAGGGAACAAAATGTTAGCTATAAGCTAAAGGGAGCAGGACATTAGTTAAAGATTAGAAGGAGCAAAACACTAGCTAAAAGCTAAATGGAGCAAAGAGCCAGCTAAAAGCTAAATGGAGCAAAGAGCCAGCTAAAATGTAAATGGAGCAAAGAGCCAGCTAAAAGCTAAATGGAGCAAAGAGCCAGCTAAAATGTAAATGGAGCAAAGAGCCAGCTAAAAGCTAAATGAAGCAAAACACTAGCTAAAAGCTAAATGAAGCAAAACACTAGCTAAAAGCTAAATGGAGCAAAGAGCCAGCTAAAAGCTAAATGGAGCAAAGAGCCAGCTAAAAGCTAAATGAAGCAAAACACTAGCTAAAAGCTAAATGGAGCAAAGAGCCAGCTAAAAGCTAAATGAAGCAAAACACCAGCTAAAAGCTAAATGGTGCAAAACATCAGTTAAAAGCTAAATGGAACATAACACTAAACATTTTTAGCAAATTTTAGAGCTAGCTAAAACATAAAAGTAGCAAAGTGTTAGCTAAATTTGCTTCTCACTAGCTAAAAGTTTCAGAACTTCATCTAAAACCCAGAAGTAGCTTAGAAGACAAAAACAAAGTCAGTATGTTGTAGTAGATTTTAAAGAGAACAAAGTTTTGAACAAACTGTAGTGACCTGTATGGGGAAAAAATCTTTAAATGGACAGTTAAATGTTTTCAGAGGTTCAGCAGTAAAAAAAAAAAAAAACAAGTCATCACACTCCTGTATCGAATTAGCGGCACGCTTTCAYATACGAGTGGCTAAAGTAGCATAAAGTATGTGAAAGATAAATTGCAAAAAAAAACATACAAAAATCAAAACAACACAGGAAACCTGTGAATCATTAAAACAGTGAGGCTAGTTTTAGTGTTTGTTTTCTGGAATAACTGGACTGTTATGCTGAAAGGTAAAATCAGTCATTCTCTTCTGATTTGAGCACAAGTCTGTATTTTTAAGTAAAGTCAGTAAAGGAGGTTTTTTTTTGTTGGAAATAAAGTGACTTATAACTCAGGAGATCAAAAGCCCAGATATAGAAAAATAAAATTAAAGATAACTTTAACGGTTAATCTTCAATTTMACACTTTGGTGAACAAGAAGAGAACCGTTTGAAGGTGGGAGTGATGAACGCAACAAGTGAAATAAGATATAAGAAAAGCAGATTGCGAACTAAGAGAAAGTTCAGCACAGCGTGAAGATAAGTTCACCACTACAGATATGCGTGTCCAATCATGTTAGCGTAGCAAATTCTGTGACAGCTCTTACACTTTTAATAACTGTGTATCTGATAATGGCTCAGAGATGATTAAACAGAAAAAAAATTGCTGTTTTAATTAAAAAACGTGCGAAGGCTGAGCTCCTCACATGTCTTTATTTAATTGAAGCAAAAGGTTTTTGTTTCTCCACCATCCTGCTTACAGAAAAAACCTAAACAAAGATGGTTTTTTTTTTTTTTTACTTTTTCGGTTTGGATTTCTCTGTTCAGCCCTTCAGACTGCCCTCCGTCTCCAACGTGAGGGAAAGTCCTCCCTTCATCAGGAGCTCAAACTGAAGAGGCGATTCCAGCGCGATCAAAGCTCCCGTGAACGCAGCCGGAGCATGCGGAGCAGCGGCAGCAGCCGGAGCAGCCAATCGGACGACTCCAACGTCCAAGAGCAGGAGAGGACGGAGAAGGATAGGCAGGATTTAGAGATCGAAAGCATCATCCAGGTAAGAGAACGGAACAGGAAGTCTTTGATTGTTTGACTTAAATTAAATGAGAAGGCATATTTGTGTTTGTGCAGCACGCTCGGGAATTAGAACTTCGGCGGAGAGAGGCAGAAGAGAAGGAACGGAGGAGACAAAAAGAGGTGCAGATGGAGCTGGAGAGGCAGCTGAAAGAGGCTGAGATGGTAAGAAGTTTTCCAGATGACGACATTTATGTATTTCCTGTTCTTCTGCAACAGAGAGGAAAAAAAATAATAATTCAAGGCTCACCGTTTGGAAAAAGGTGATTTCAGGAAACTTCTTCCCCCMACTTAGCTGGTGTGTTTCTGTTCCAGCTGAGAGAAAACATGGCCGCCCAGATGCAGGAGAAGGAGAGGACGGCCGAGCAGCAGAAGAAACGGATCCAGGAGCTGGAGCTGACGCAGCAGAAGCTGGAGGCGGCCCTCAACATGGAGATCCAGGCCCGGCTGGAGGAGGAGCGGGCCAGGCAGGAGCTGGAGAGGTGACGCTAAAGACCGAAACATCCAGAACTTCATCTCTTCCCGTCAGAACTCACCGCTTTGCTTTATTCTGCCGTCCTTTCCGCAGGTTGTTGGAGGCCGAAGAGGAGAAGAGGAGGCAGTTCCTGTTCCTCCAAGAGCAGCAGGAGCTTCTGCAGAGGCATGAGGCGTCAAACGGGCGAACAGGCGAATCCTCCCCGTCYGCCCTCTACTCTGCCTCTCTGGAGCTTCAGCACCTGCAGGCGTCTCGTCAGAGGAGCCACCAGCACCTCGAGGTGACGACAGAACTGGGCCGCAGTGGTAAAAAAAATAAAATCAGTTTTTGTCTTGAAAGCTCTTAACGGATCGAGGCTGCTTGTTTGRCTTCCAGGAGATGCAGGAGAGGCTGCGAAACGCCACTCAGCACGTGCGCCACTGGAACGTCCAGCTGAACCGCCTGATGACGCCCATCACCCCTGCAGGTGCGATGAGCTCTTTGTCTGCTCCGTCTGAAGAAGGGATGAAAAATATRTAGTTACAAATTTAAAGAACTGCATATTAACAATGTAATGAGCATTTTTCCCCTCTCATTTTTTATTTATTTATTTTTTTTTGTAGAGCGTTTGGAAAGTCGCCTTCTATCRCAAAGCACTTGTCCCAAAAAGGAGGAAGCGCTGGCCAGCACCGAGTTCATCTCTAAATATAAGATTCGAGGTCAGCGCAACAACCGGATAGGAGACGAACAAAGGAAGCTGGAGGAGCAGATGGAGGCCACCCACCTCTCGGATGACTTAAACTGTTAGTTTTTATTGTAATTCAACATTAAATTACCTCAGATAAAGGACAAAAAAAATACCAGCAAGTTACAGCAAATGACTAAAATTATAACTGATGCAAAAAAATGTATGGAAAAATACTTTAAACAAGATTCATGTTAGGTTTACTGAGAAACTTGTATAAAACGGGAGAAAAGAGGAACATTCAACCAACTCATTTATAATTGTTCAAAATGGRTAAAAGAAATGTACTTTCAAGGCAGAATGTGTATTTATATTTTGAATTGTGCACCAACAGGTAGTGATGTGAAAAAAATATTATTGAAATAAAGGATTAAAAAATATCTGAATAAGTGTTTAAGGTTGCAAAATGTATTTATTTCAATCAAARTATCAAATTTGAATTGTCTAATATTTCATTTCTAAAAGCTTATTTTTATATACATATTTAAAGNTGTCAGTATTTTTTTCTCTTTTTAAATGATTGTATTTATTTAGCCCTCTGTTCAACCTTTTTCGGTAATGACACTTTCTGGCCAAAGGGGGCGCTCCAGCTTGAACATGTGCTTGAATTTCAACCGGAAACAAAATTTGACAAATCTTCAAGCAACATGGCGGCTTCCAGCCAGTTGTCACGCTGAATGGAAAATAGATTTAATTTCGGATTAAATTAGTTTTTTTYCYTAAATAGTTTTCCCAGGCGAACCGAGGGTCTGTTTTGACCAATGAAGTCATTTAGGCGGGATAGTTCATCATGTTAGCATCACGGRCTGTTAGCATGGCAGCGGCCTCCAGATGGAAGGTCGGGTCTTTGACGTCTCTAAGCCGGAGACTGTCCACAGAGAGTCCGGACATTGAACTTGAACGTCATGCCTGGCCGAAGCGCACAGTGAAAAAAGACCCCAGCGACTACTCCGTGCTCCTCTTCCCAGGGCAGGGCTCTCAGTTTGTGGGCATGGGCAGAGGACTCCTGCAGTACCCCAACGTGAAGGAGATGTTCTCCGCAGCCCAACAGATCCTCGGTTACGACCTGCTGTCCCTGTGCCTGAATGGGCCTGCGAAGGATCTGCAGAAGACGGTTCACTGTCAGCCGGCGGTGTTTGTCACCTCGCTGGCTGCGGTGGAGAAGCTTCATCATGTCAACCCAAAGGTCAGCGGCTCATTATAAACACTTCTTGTAATTCCAGCCTAATAAATGTATAAATATTTAATCTATGTCCACAGGCCATTGAGACATGTGTCGCGGCTGCAGGTTTCAGTGTTGGGGAATTTGCTGCTCTCGTATTTTCAGGCGCCATGAACTTTTCAGAAGGTAAACAAGACATAAACAGTACTTCTCATTTAAGATGAAGTGTAACGTGAGTTAACAGACTTTACTTGTGTGGATCTAGCTCTGTATGCAGTGAAGATCCGTGCAGAGGCCATGCAGAAAGCCTCTGAGCTGGTTCCCAGTGGGATGCTGTCGGTCATCGGCAGGGCTCAGACTCGTTATGAATACGCCTGCCGGCAGGCTGTGGAGCACTGCAGTGGTCTGGGCATCCAGGAGCCTGTTTGTTCTGTGGCCAGCTACCTGTTCCCTGATGGAAGAGTCATCGCAGGACACMAGCAGGTGTGGAGCAGGACTTCATGAGCTGAGGAAGCTCCAGATCTAGATTAGTGTTTTTGTTTTYGCGATACTGTTTTAATCAGTTGTGCTCTGTTCTCAGGCATTGGACTTCCTCCAGCAGAACGCGCAGCAGCTACATTTCATCAGGGCCAAACCTCTAGCGGTCAGCGGTGCTTTCCACACTAAGCTGATGGCGTCAGCTACTAAGCCCCTCGAAGACGTGCTCAGRCAGATGGAGGTCAGTCAGCCATGAGTTCTTGAAGGAAACGGATCTGTTGTTTTTCTGCTGTTCGCTTATTTTCGTTTATTCCCTTCCTTTACAAACATTCTGACACTATATGATCCACTGCCTAAAAATKATTTTAATCCAGGTGCACCGTCCCAACATCACTGTCTACTCCAACGTGGACGGCAAGCGCTACACAAGCGAGAGCCACGTGCGCAAGCAGCTGCTGAAGCAGCTGGTGTCGCCCGTGAAGTGGGAGCAAGTGCTGCACTTGATCTACGAGCGACGGCAGGGTGGGGACTTCCCTCAAACCTACGAGCTCGGGCCTGGAAAGCATCTGGGCARCACGATATACAAGTGCAACAGGAGGGCCTTCCAAAACTACCATCATGTGGAYGTCACCACAACTGAGGAGTGATGATGCAAAGACTCTTGAATGTATGTTTTTTTAATTAAATAAGGAAGTCAGTTTTTCTCATTTTGGAGTTTATTTGCATGAAAAAAAGCATTTTTCAAATCTGCAACAGAAAGTCCAGCTCCCGTCATTTGTCTTAAGCAAAGCTACATGTCATTTGTAAAAATCTTGGCCTCTTAAACCAGTAAGAAACTACAAAAGACTGCAGGCCAGCAACAGTCCAGTCCAGGTTATTTTAACAGTAATACAACTGTGAAACAACATCACTGCTACATAATTCTAGCTGGGAGGTGATCTATCCAGCGCATTTCTTTCCGTTGCCTTATGTGTTGCCCGAGAAGTTGCCCACAGTCTTCACCGTCAACTTCCGTACCGCTCGGTAAAAACAGTGGATATAAAACAGGAGAAGTCAGAGTAAACAGCAGAAACCAAAATCAGCGATAATTTTCCACAAACACGTCGTCAAACAGAGAAAGGATCGCTCGCGGCCTCGTTAGGCTCCCTCCTCCATCCACAGAGCGCTAAAGACGCCAGCTGCAGCCAACAGCGCCACGGTCATGAACGCTCCTCTGGTCCAGCCAGGGCAGGACACCGGTTTGAAGCTGGACACCTGGAAAAAATATCCAAAAAAGTTYGATATTGTAAGATGTTTTTATGTATGTTCACATAAAAACAAAATCCTATTATAACGTATCTGTAAGCATCTAAATTGATAGATGGATGGATAGATTGCACTGAAAAGAGCACTGCRGTCCACAGACAACAATGAAATAATTTTGCAGCTCCCATAGTGCAAATAATCAGAACATCCATCCATCCATCCATTTTCTGTACACGCTTCTTACATTAAAAAGGTAAAATAAGAGGTAAAAAACAAATTAAAAAGTAAGATAAAAATGTAAACAACAACCGTAGCAAATGAATCAGAACGTGAAAAATAAAATAAAAGGTAGAAAAAGATTTAAAAAGTAAGATAAAATAAGATTAAAAAATGTAAAAAAAAAACAAAACAAAAAAAACAACAGTAGCAGCCATATCAAAGTGATGCAACAATCATGACGCAACATCAGTAGTGCTGCAGCAGCCCCTGTTGGATGCTGGAGGATACGCWTGTCCAAATACATGGTTACAGAATAGAATAAAAATCATTAAAATCTAATTTTATTAATGCTGAATGTAACGACTTAATGACCATGTAAGGCAGTGGTTCTCAACCTTTTTTGGGCCAGYGCCCCTTAGCCATGATTGAGGGCCCCTAACGCCCCCTCCCCACCCAAACCTAACCAACCTAGCCTAACCCAAACCACACCCTAACCGTGTGTAGGCAGAGCTGCTGCTAATGTGGATCTATCGCTGCTGTGTTTGTGTCCAGGTCAGGATCGTGTCATCACTGGCCCGGCTGATTCGTCACGCTGACCGCATCTTAATAGCAGATTAGAYAGTTGTMAAAGCTGAAATAAGGGAGGGGGACAGAGAGTAGCTACATGAACGGATTGTATCACAGTTCTCCAATTTCAGATAAACAAACTCTTTCACAGGTTACCATGAAACAACCAGTTTATTTTCCTGATCAGTAAATGCCATGTGGGGGGAGTTTTATAGATGATACTCTGATATCCGGTTCTCCTGAAGGCAGCACAGAGCTGCTCAACAAAGCTGACAGAAACTGATGAGAAAAGAAACGTGATACAGGTGCAGTGCCACGCATGTTTTAACGTTACAGACCCCCATTTTTCACAAGCATTTCAAAGTTTAAACTGCTGTTTTTGGAAATCTTTGGTGAAAATTTTGCCTTCAAGCAAACGCCCCCCCCAAACGTGTTACAGCGCCCCTTTTTGGTAAATATTGCTGCCAACGCCCACTGGCACCGCCACAACGCCCCATAAGGGGCGGTACCGCCCCCGTTGAGAACCACTAATGTAAGGCAAATGAGGGTAGTGTTGTTYATGCAGCAGTACCAGGGTTTCCTCCAGTGTATTATAGCTCTGGCTGTCCGCCCCGTCAGTCCTGTTTTGCTGATTGCCAAAGACCTTTACAGTCAGAACCAGCAGAGGTTGTTTTTCCTTTTGTGCCACTGGATAATGGAACAAAAGGAAAAGTGGCTAGGACCTAGCGTTTAGCAACATAGCATGCTTCCAGTAGCATGGTGTGTCCCGGTGGCGCCTGTCTACCTTAGCGTAGCGTAGCTTTTGTGGATCCTCYACACTGGTTCCCTAGCTAGCCGGTAAAATAGAACCCGAACGATGACGTCATTGAGAAGAGAGTGAGCCCCCAACTGACACAAGATCCCGTAGATGAGAGGAAAAGTGAGTTACCCAGGCTGTCAGGGCCTTGGCTCGGAGGGGTCTGTGCCCAGGCGCAGTGCTCCCAACCCAGGCCTTCACTGCAGCAAACAGACCCTGAAAGCTCCACAGCTGTGTGTGGACATCCCTGCAAGAAAACAGTTACAACTTACAGCCGACGACACAGCTTTAAGGATTTTGACTTATAAAGAGTTTTTCTTTTCTTTGTACCGATAGATGGTTCGTGTCAGGTTCTGGGCAGGTACCAGCAGGTGGAGAGGAGTCAGAGGCCAGTTTGGATCTCTCCTGGTCCGCTCCCGGTTCAACTGGTCTCCGATTACAGCCAGCTGGCAGCCAATGACCCTCGCAGCCGAGTCCCTGATCCTGGAGCAGGCACAGATAACAGTGTGTTGGCGTTTCTTGGACAGATTCAGCAAATGAAAGCCTCTTTTAAAGTGTTTGTTGCTGGTCAGACTCATCCCTCATGGTGCGTTTAACGATCTGTTTTTGTTGTTGTTCAATGAGGCAGAAAGTCTGAGCCGTACCTGAAGTTCATGTCAAACGGGGTGTTGGTGTGCGCCTCACCAGGTCCAGCCTGGAGGGTCACTGCATGATTCGGGCGTCTGGTTTGCTCCACCATCGTGCTCGCTGAGGGGCGGAGCACAAATATGAACAAGTTTCCATGTTAGTAAACGTCGCCACACAGATCAAGTCTTTCGTGTGGTTCTGTATTATCTCCGGCTCCTAACGTTCATAAACAGGTTATGTAAACACCGGATCATGTGACCAGTATAGGTGGCGCTTGTGTTACCAGGGAGAAAGTCCAGGTTAAAAAAAAGGGAAGAGACAAACAGATCTGAAGAAATGACATCATCTTTTTTTGATGTCCACTTCAACCATACTGTTTTTCACTTCCCTATGTTTTTGGATCTTTTTACACAGGAAACTGTAGCTCTAATTTGCCTTTATGACTGCAATCCAAGCGTTTTAGCTTCTGTTTGCAGGTTTGTAACCTGCTCCGTGCACCTGACCTGAGATCATCCCCATTGTACTCACGTCCCTTCATGCAAATGTCACATTTCCATAACTCAAATCAACCAAACGGCCTTTTTTATCCACGTTTTAAAAAACAGAATGGCAAACACTCCATATAATCTTCCATAAACCTTCAAATATTTGTGTGTTTACAGTTTCTGACAGCTGGAAATAAATGAACGACTTACTGTTTTTACAATTTTAACTCCCTTTTGAAAGAAAACATCCTAAAATTCAGCCCTGACATCAAAAACACAAGCAGAATGCACTGTAATATAGACATTTTAGACTCATCTAATAAAGCCCAAATCGGTTTGTCTTATTGTCAAAACAAAAAGATGAAGTCATCCTTCTGACCCAAAGCAAACAAAGGTCGTTTTGAAGAAAAAACACAAATACTGGATAAAACCTACAGCTGTTAATGTTATAAAACCTAGTACATTTCACATTTACATGTGTATTATACTGTATTGTGTTGAATTTGTATTTGGTTTCCCATTAAACAAACATGAACTCACACCCTGATCGTAAACAGGTGCAACAGTGAAAAAGAAAGTAAAAAAAAAACCCCTACCTTTTGTGTAGATTAAAGTAGACGCCGCCCTGTAATAAACGCAAAAACATTTTGATTAACCCCTAATATTAAATGATAAATTGAAATTTTTAATCGATGAACGTTTGTACTCACAGCAGCGTCCTTTAATCTTGCTGCTCTCAGGTAAAATACAGTCAAGCCACGCCTTTAGACAACTTTAACATATTTCTGTTGGCAGTGGCCACCAGGGGGCGACAGAACTCCCACAACAACACATGACACAATGATTTGCAAAACTTCCTAATAAAGCCATATTTTATTCACACAGAAAGTCACAACATACGTTGTCTCAGGGCACTGTACATGAAAGAAAAATCTGAAGAAGAAGCCAGCAGATTGTGTTGAATCACTTCATCACAGTCTCCCATCCTGAGCAAACAGTGGAGAGGAAAAACTCCCTGCTAATCAGGAAGAAACCTCCAGCAGAACCAGGCTCAGGACAGGCGGCCATCTGCCTCGACCGGCTGGTTGAGGGACAGGAAAGAGACACAGACAAACACAGAACTGGTCCAGGTGCGCCTTCTTCTGGAAGAGACAAGAAAAAACATGATAGAAATAATTACAGTAAACATGTAGAGAAGAGAGACTGAAGACAACCAGCAGGGTGAGGAAATGTGCTCAGTTTGTGCTCCAGCAGTCTAAGTCTATAGCAGCAGAAATGAAGAATAATTC